CATGTAAGAATAATAACCAATGTCTCCTAGAAATATATTACCAGGGCTGCTGTTAATAGAATTCATAGCAGTAGAAGTTGAAAGATTCTATTTTTGGAAAATTGGTGGTAGTACTTTGAGAAGCCATCATGAGATGATCTTATTGGCTATGAGCATTTCTAATTTAAAGCCGGTAGCCCTCAATGAATATCAATGCAGCTTCTGGTTATATCTTGAATTCTTTCATCGGCTATTGTTTCTTGAAACGATAAATAGTCGATGGAGGTAACAACAAAGGATAGCCGATGGATGGATTTTTGCTCTGGCTAAGCATATTCTATCGGCTTATTACCTAAGCTTGTTCACGGTAGAATCACAATCGTTTGAGAAGTCAGGGATCAGCTCCAATATTGAAAAGTATTTGGCACTATTCTAAGGCAAGCTGGAATTCACGTACGAAGGAAGTTGAAGAAGAATTGACTTTGCCTACCAGTTACGTAGTTGCATGTGAGATTATTTAAAAAGTACAAGAGATAAAGTCCGAATGCCACACATGTGCACATGGCCACGTTGATGCTTGGAGTCTGAAGCTCGGTGCTTGACAGCAGTATCCGATTGAAGCACAGAGCAGAGGCGGGACCTACCTATATTCAAAGGCGTAACATATCGGCTATTAATATCGGCTATTTGATCAAGCTGCAGATATTGTCATCAGCTCAGGAAATAGTTACTTAACCGAAAATCAAGTATCCGGGCCAATGACGCCAACAGAAGGTGATTAGCAAGGATTGTTCAAAGCCGATGGAATCCAGACAATCATCATTGGAAGTTGGTATATACAATGCTATCTTATGCGTGCGGAAGACGACTTGCAAGCGTCTTGGAATCCAGTTGGAGACGTATGATAGAAACAAGGAAGCCAAGTCCGTTAAGTGTATACGTGCATGTCATGCATGGGGATTCCAAGAAGAATATGGGTATACGTCTGTAGTTGATCGGCTAGATGGAGCCGATAAAGTCCGGTCAATCATTTATGAACCCCTAGTGATCAAATCCATCTTGGGTTCGATACTCCAATTTTATTGGTACTTTTGTGTGTCTTGCTAGCCTGGTTGTTTATGAGAGGAAAAAACAAAAGGGAAATATTTATATAAGACAGTCACCAGCCCAACAGCAAAGCCAAATCATGAAGCCGATAAAGACTGACAGTTGATGACAATTGCTGACTCAGTTGGAACCAATCGACGAGTATGTGAAGATAGCCGATATCGATGGTTGAAAGTATATTGAAATATTTTATTGCATCAAGTTGATCAGCAAGTCAATTGGACATTGGCTTTTAGGAATATTGATGCATCGGTTATTTTTTATTCAAAGATTGTTGCCTCCAGGTTGCTTATCGGCTTGCATAAGTATAGCTGCCGATGGAGCATGATCACGTAATGAAGAACAAGTTCTAAAGGAAGATGATGTGGACCCCGAGGAGATCATCAGCTGTGCCGGACGAGCAAGAGTGCCGAGAAAAAGATCCGTGAGCTGATCAACAGCTATGCCGACTACGACTTTTGCTCTCTGGGCATATCGTACCAACAGGTCCCTAAGAAAAGGAAAGCACTGACCAACCATGGCAGTTCATCGGCCTCCTGTCGCTGTTCAATCCACTATGACACGACAAAACGGAGATCATCCGGTGCACGTTCCACCTAGGCGAGAATGTGAAGGTAATCACCGGTGACTAGCTGGATATCGGCAAGGGGACAGTGTGGCGCCCTAGCATGGGCAGCAACATGTACCCGTCCTCTGGTGATGGACGGTCTGATCGACAAGGTGGATGGATCCGCCGAGATGTTCCTAGAGCGCAAGTACGAGATCATGAAGTGGCTAGACACATCTACGGCATGCCGACGATGGCGTGAACAACACGTCGACACTAACTAAGACGGACATCGACATCGCAATGAACGACGTGATGAATACGGCCCCGAGTGCGTCGAACATCATATGAAGAATTCGAGTTGAGCATGATCTTGAGTACCATGTTCGCCAACTACAGCGAGGGTGAACGAGAAGCGCTGGCGCGATGCAGAGGATGTTGCACGGCCTCAACCAGGCTACCACCAATCCAGACTTCTTCGGCGATGACAACCAGGACTGCTACAAACTGTTAGAACTCGCCGAGCAGGTCACAAAGTACGCCGAGGTAGTCAGGTCCAGGGAGCTGCACACATTCAAGGGGCACGTCAAATCCATCATCAAGCTCAAAAAACTTCAACTTATGACAGCTGCTAGCACACATCTCAGTAAAAGTCGATGATGGCTCTTTTACTATGAGCAGCCAAGAATCAAGAGTCCAGGTGCATCACGTTGAAATTTATCAGGCTATTCACCTCCATTGGCTGCTCACCCCCATCGGCTCCAAGTACAGATATATAGAGATCAGCTTGGGGGCCAGTATTGGCTCAAGTTCCACTTTAGCTGATACGTCAGGTGATGGAGCCATCCGGCCTGGCAGACGCGACATGGCCAGCTCTGCCGCAGCAAAGGTACCTCAATAGTAGACGAACCGATAGCGCCGCAGGAGAGCCGATAGTTCACAATCAGTAGTTGACAAATCAGGAAGAGGAACCAAAAGGTGGGTTAAGCATAAAGCCGATGAGATCGGCCTATCGGCTTCTATTAATATGGTTGTCTTTTCCTACAGCATACAAAGCTCAATTCGAAGATGGAAGAAGTGAAAGCGATAAGCTCGAAAGGCTTGTTCTAAATGGAGGGCAATATAGTAATGTATTCTTCAATAAGAGAGGCTGCGTCAGAAACACAAAAAAGCTGGCAACTTGACAGTCGATAGGGGACCATCGGCTGAATAATTTTGAAATGGTAAATATTCCCGGTTCTCAAATTTATGGCGAAGAGGGATTTATCTTGAGCCGGGAATTATTATTAAATAAGATGCAAGAGTGAACACCTCATATTTGCTACGTGCCTCTGTTGAGCGCTCTTCTACGTGTGGCACTATATATTGCTAAGAGAAGATCAAAAGAGTTGTCCGCTTGGTTGTTGCAAGCTGTTGGAAGTCAGCCAAGGATGACTTATATTGCTGCATGCCAGAAAGAAAGGCCGGAGGCCTAGCACAGAGGAGAAAAGATCCAGCAACATGAAAAGGGTGTACACAGGAAGTAACTAGGAACCATCACGTATGCAATCGAGAAAAAAGCCAATGTTTATGCTTCCAAATATAGCCAATAGTCCAAGTCATCAAAGACATCGGCTCCGAGTATTGAAGTGTAGTGGAGCTTTTGAGACAACGGCTTCGGATGCAAAAAGAGCCGATGGTGAACCTTGTGTATGCAACTCCAGGCCATGTGTTGCTATTATGGCGGTGTAAGACTAATGGCAGCCACGACAGGGGCAAGGTCAAGGAACTCATGGCCGACGGCGATGACAAGGAAGTGATGCTGGCAAACAAGGCTGTGGGCCTCCTCCTCTACATCGACTATATTCTCTCATGGAGGCATAGCCAATGGATGAGCAAAGGATGTGGAAGAGTCTAGGCCATAACACAATAAATGCTGCTCATTGTTGTCCACACGGAGTCTCATTGATATGGCAAGTGGCCTTAGCTGCGCCGTGTCCGATGCATCCACATCCTTCTCGGAGTAGTGCAGCAGCATCGACATCAACAGATAGTTTGAGCCGACCACCATAGTGCCAAGCTCATCGGCCGATCCTCGCCATTTACCGTCGCGCCCTTCAGACGGCTCAGCATGAAGCCCCGTGCCGACATGATCGACCACTGCTCCATTGGTGACAAGATAGGAGTTGGCGGAAAATAGGGTCTCTAAGCTCGTGCTTGGCGGGTGTTGTCCCAAGGAGGTTCGCTAGGTTGGCAAGGTTAGGGTTAGGGTTCGGGATTCGGGGTGTTACCTGAATCTGGCGGGCTTAGAAGGATTCCTGGGAAAAGACTGCCCTAGTGGTGGTTGCAGGTGCGGGGGTGGCAAGGGGCGAGGCAACAGTGGCATTGCCAGCTGGGCAGTGAAGGAAGGCGGTTGGACATGGCAAGGGTGGGGGCGTGATGGAGATATCTTGACAACCTCCACCGGGTTAGCGTGGCGGCGGGGGTCTCGACCAAAGATGAAGAAGACAACAAGGAGGCATATCCAATGGATTTTAGGACCAGGTCGGACCATGGTGGAGGGTAGCGGATCCAACAACCAGGGAGCCGCTAGAGCCAAGCAGGGCGGCAAAGGCGAGTGGCTCGTCAGGGTCAAGTTGGAGTTAGGGATAGGCGCGCGGAGGAAGAAGACGGAAGAAGATAGAGTGGAGAGAGATTTGGGGGCCGTTCGGCTGCCCTGAAATCCATCCTGAAAACACTGTTTACGGATGAAAACACTGTTCACTATCTCACAGATTCATCCAGATTCCTCTAAATTTCCTCCAAATTTCCTCCAAGCGAACAGGGCCTTGATCTCAACCCTCTATTTTATATCTATATAAGCGTAAAAAAATTGACTAATGGCTGCCCTTGAATCACTCAATTGTTATCTACACAGATCCTTCAAAAAATATGTATAGCAATAGAACCCTACGTTACTGGCTGAAGTGTAGTGTTTAGCGATAGTACTCTACGTTACTGGTTTAAGCTGCTCAGAAGTAAACTTGACACGGCAACCATATGGAGCAACTAAAATTTCCCTTCTAGACCAGTATCAAATCACAACATTGCTGGGTCAACACAATTATCTTCCTTTACCTAGAGACTATGTGCGATCTGGGGCGCTCTGATCACGGTTTGGATGACAAAGATTGATGATATGCAAACAACAGTGCCTTGCAGACTTCTCAATATAGACCGATCAAATTTGGATTATTATCAGATGATGAAAGCAGGCTAATATAACTTGGAAAATAGATCTTTCAGTAATCAAAGCATTAACGACAGCATATGCAGCGACTACATCAAAGTGGACATGCCAACTTGCCAAGGTCCAGGACAAATAACAGTTGCAAAATGCAAATGCTAGCTAGTTCTTGGACGCATTGCTCTCCAGCTCTTTCCTCAGCTGCAGCGAGAAGTCATCATTGACATCGTCATCATCCCAGTCATCCTCCCATTGCTGAAGTGCTTCATTGCCTTCTTCCTTGTCATCCCATTCTGTAATTCAGAAGTTAGTATCAGATTGGTACTTAGGTAATGCAAGCATTGTTTTTGTCTGTAACATAGTTTGATAAACAAATTTGATATCTTGTCGAATTGAACAGGTTCCGACATCGATGGCAAGAGTATTTTGACAAATTGTTCAATGGTGAGAATATGGACACAACCTTTCAGTTGGATAACTCTTTTGATGACACCAATAGGCGCTTTGTGCGGAGAATCCATGAATCTGAGGTCAGAGAGGCGTTGAAAAGGATGAAAGGAGGTAAGGCGATGGGACCGGATGGTATCCCAATCGAGGTGTGGAGATGCCTCGGGGACATAGCTGTAGTATGGTTGACCAAGTTGTTCAACCATATTTTTCGATCAAACAAGATGCCTGATGAGTGGAGAAGTATATTGGTACCGATCTACAAGAATAAAGGGGATATTTAAAGTTGTACAAATTACCGGGGAATTAAGTTGATGAGCCATACTATGAAGCTATGGGAGAGAGTTATCGAGCATCGCTTGAGAGCAATAACACGGGTCTCTATGAACCAATTTGGTTTCATGCCCGGAAGGTCAACCATGGAAGCCATTTTCTTAATAAGACAAGTTATGGAGCGGTATAGGGAGAAGAAGAAGGACCTACACATGGTTTTTATTGACTTGGAGAAGGCTTATGATAAAATACCAATGAATGTTATGTGGTGGGCTTTGGACAAACATAAAGTCCCAACGAAGTACGCCGGGCTCATTAAGGACATGTACAACAATGTTGTGACTAGAGTTCGAACAAGTGATGGAGACACGGATGACTTCTCGATTAGGATAGGACTACATCAAGGGTCGACTTTGAGCCCTTATTTGTTTGCTTTAGTGATGGATGAGGTCACAAGGGACATACAAGGGGACATCCTTGGTGTATGCTTTTCATGAGACGATATAGTGCTAGTTGATGAAAGCCGGACAGAGTGAATCGTAAGCTGGAGTTATGGCGGGAGACTTTGGAGTCCAAAGGTTTTAGACTTAGTAGAACTAAAACCGAGTATATGAGATGTGACTTGACACTACTACTCGGGAGGAGGAAGATGTTAGTTTGGAAGGTCAAGTAGTGCCTAGGATGGATATCTTTCGATATTTAGGATCAATGCTACTGAGAGGGATGGAGATATTGATGAAGATGTTAGCCATAGAATCAAAGCGGGGTGGATGAAGTGGCGGCAAGCGTCACAGTGTCCTATGTGACAAAAGGATACCATGAAGCTAAAAGACAAGTTTTATAGGACGGTGATTAGACACGCTATGTTGTATGGTGCGAGAATGTTGGCCCACGAAAAGGCGACATATTCAACGACTAAGTGTCGCGGAAATGCGTATGTTTGCGTTGGATTTGCGGGCATACAAGAAGGGATCGAGTTGAACGATGATATACATGAGAGATTAGGGGTAGCGCCTAATTGAAGAAAAGCTTGTCCAACACCGATTGAGATGGTTTGGACATGTGCAACGGAGACCTTCAGATGCACCGGTCATGTAGTGGAATCCTAAGTCGGGATAGTAACGTGAAGAGAGGCAGAGGAAGACCGAAGTTGACTTGGGTAGAGGCAATAAAAGGAGACTTGAAAGGATGGAATATACCCAAAGACTTAGCCTTAGATAGGAATGCTTGGAAGACAGCTATTCACGTGCCTGAACCTTGATTGTTTCTGTTGGGTTTCAACTCTAGCCTACCCCAACTTGTTTGGGACTTAAAAGGCTTGTTGTTGTTGTTGTTGTTGTTGTCGTCGTCGTCGTCGTCGTCGTCGTCGAATTGAACAGGTCATTACATTACACAACCAAAAGAAACAATGGTATTAGAAAGAGGAAACTAAAAAAACAAGATTATCCAAATGAGTCATGATGAACAGATTAATTAGGAAACAACACCAGAACACTAAAATACAACATCAATGTTGTGATGTCTTCTAAGCTTCTAATGCAAAGCAAGCATAAAGGGATCTGGGATTTGATCTTTCAACTTGGTCTAGCATATAGGCATGTACAGATTGTCTAAATAAAGCAAGGGATTTTTAAGCACAAAAAATGGGCTGAATGCACCCATGGCAGTAACGTGTCGTGCATGTAGTAACCAATCCCTCTATGAACATTTATGGACTGCACACACAAAACATGATGCAAATCAATCTAGAAAAACACTATCTCGATATAAGAACTGTTAGTTTGTGTCGATGTTGCCACAGAAACTCACTGTCGTAGTTTCCTGAAGGCTGCATTATTATTGTTCTATAAATGGCGTTTGCTTGCGACTGGGGTGAGCGATTGATAAATGAATCTAGTAATTCATACAGATAAATAAACCACAATTCAAAATATCTCAGGTTGTGGATAGAATTTCATAACATGGCACAGCAGGCAAATGTTTTTATACATACATCTGTCAGTGCAGAAAGAGCAAACCCTCCTGAAATCATCAATTTTATAGCAGCCGGTTAGCTACAAATGTTAGCTACTTTACAGAAAGATAAGACTCAGGTCCACAAGATAAACAAGACCTGAATGCCCAGCGCGTGTACCACCGAAGCACAAGTAACTGACAATAGTTTGGGCACAACCGTATATCGCAGAAGTGATAGTAACAGATAATAGTTTCACACCCCTATGTGTACGTGACACAAAAACACCTGAGCTAATATGTCACGAACCCTGGCCAGATCTTGACAACGGCGCCACCTAGCAGATGACCAGGAAGAAACGGGGATTGGACGAGGAACCATACCTTGATCGATCTCAAACTCCTCGAACTCGTCGTCGTCCTCGAGCAGGTCCATCTTAGCTTCCTCCGTCACCTCGGGCTTCGCTGGTTCCGCCATCGGGACTCGCTACACTAATTGGATCAGATCAGATACGGGTACAAATAGTTAGGGTTTGGGTGCTCGGTTTCGCACAGCAGGAACGGAAGAGATGGGATGAGCGTGCCTGGTGGGTGCTCGTCGCCGGTGAAGGGCCCGAGCCTGGAAACCTAGCGAGCGGCGGCGGGCGCCGGCGGGCGCGTAGTCGTCGCCGTTATAGAGACAGAACGCAAGCGAAGGACACCGGAGAACCACGATGCGTGTGGGGGGCTGGGCTCGGGGGACGGGAGGCAAGGACGGGTCCGCAGGATAATAAAGGGCCGGGCCGGTACTGCTCGTGCTCTAGTAGGATTCGTAATTCAAACGTATTATTACTCCTAATATAAGAGCATTTCTTAGAACCTTTATAGAACTTATTACTCTCTAAATTATTATTCGGAGAGCCACTATAAAAATCGCTTTTTTAGTTTAAATAAATAAATATCATTTTTTATATCTTTTTACTCTTTAATATTTTTCTGTATCTTATGCACACTCTAGATAGTCATTTTCGCTATCTATCTTTGCCTAGCGAGAAATCCAGAAAAAAGCAGGGCTATATTTGAATAGTCACTTAAAAAAGTTATTATAGGGTACTTTTTCATCAAAATATTTATTCCTAACCTCAGTAGAAAAATAGGAAAATGTTTTCCTTAGAGCTCTGACTTGGTAACCGAGGGTACAAATGAAAGTTGTAGGAGTGTAGATATATTCTTATTTGTTTTGTGTGGAAGTTTAGTTGAAAAGGGCAACGGATATAGGACCAACTTCCACTAATCGCTTCCTAGGAAAAAAAAGGTGGTAATAGTTTTTTTAACCGTTTTTTTTGAAACAAAGAGGTGGTAGTGAAAGATCTCTACATCATGACTTATCAAATGTTCTTACTCAGAACAGGCAGATCAAATAGGGGGTATAGATTGCCGCTTAAACTTTCTTTCTTTATTTTCCTCCATAAATAAACAGGAGGTTGTGAATAAAAAACAAATTCCAACCTTAAATCCCTCCATCAATTCCAACCACTAATTTTCATGCCCCTCCTCGGATAGTTGCCATACAAAACATGTGGCAATTGGAAGGATAGAGCGGGAGTTTAGAATACTACCACCACCCCAAAATGAATACAATTGTTGTTGTTGTTTTTTTGTTAAAGTATCTAAAGTTTGACCGAATATATAGGTAAAAGTACTAATATTTATGACACTAAATAGGTATACTATAAAAATATATCTCATGGCAAATTGTAATACTTATTTTTATATTATAAAAATATTAATATTTTTATATATAGTTGATCAAATTCAAGATACTTAGACAATGTATTATGCTAGAACTGTGTTCTTTTCTGGGATGGAGACAGTATCTTGTTTGTTCCGTAAAAGTATGAGTTGTAGTGAGAAACGAAATGTGACAATTCCCTGTGAGCCATTATAAAAGATGCAAACTCCGTGTGAGCCACCAAAAAAGTTCATCTTCCCTCTTAACCACCGCTTCAACTTTTCCAACCCTTACACGCCACTACCATCTGTTTTGGGGGAAACGGCAGCTAACAGAAGCATGAAATGTCCCTTTTGCCCCTCTTACAGGTGAGCCCCATGCGTCAGCTTTCTTCCTCGCTCCCTGGCCATGGACGCTGAGGCCGAGCGCGCCAGGAGCTCCCTCACCGCCGAGCTCCGTGCCGAGCGCGCCCTGGAGGCAAGGTAGGAACGAGGAGCGGGCCTAGGCTTCGAAGATGCGCAGCATCACAAGCTGCCATCTGCGGCATGCCCAAAGGTCGAAACAACCTCACCCATAGGAGCAACACCTCGGGGTCGGGGATAAAACAAATACAGGGTTCGCTCGCAGGCCCCCGCGTCACTCCCAAAGGGACGACTCGTGCGGCGGCACTTCCGTCGACGGCCAGCTCCCTCCCGCGGGGCCCTATGCCTCGCCGCTTGTTGGTGTTTATTAACATGTCACTTGTTTTAGGTACTTAGCCACATTTTATAAACCTGTACCTTCTAGCTTTACTAGGTTGTCTGTGGCAAACCCGCCCGAAATAACACACCTTCGGAGGCGCTCGTCTTCCACTAGACATAAGCACCCCGAAAGCAAGCTACATCGGGCGGGTTCCATCCAGCACACCCCAAGGAAGAGCCCGAATCATCCACATTTTCCCACAGGATCCAATAATGAGAACGAGTTTACATTACTTAGTCCATTTCTTACATCCAGAGTTCTCAGAAATATATTATTACAGTACCAAATTCAGAGTGCGGAAATTTAACAGCAAAATGAAAAGAAACATCTATCGATAATATACAAGGATCCGTTTGTGCCCACCAGAAAAATCCTTCACACAATGGCTACTCCTCAAGCAGTACCTGCAACAGGCGTAAATAAACCCTGAGTACACAATGTACTCGCAAGACTTATCCGACTAGTGGGAATAATTTTCCGACTCCGAGGGATATGATAAGCTTTATGGTTTGCTGGTTTTCTTTTTGCAGAAAGCAATACTAATAGTGAATCCTTATTTATGTTATTATTAGTAGTCATAATTATTTCATTATCTAGCCATTCTATTGAAGCACCTGTTCTACTTTCAAGCAAAAGTTGAGCAAACAGTTCTATTTCATCACCTTTCATCTTTCAGTTCTTACTACGGTGCTAGACTGTAGACAAGCCGTACCGAAACGTCAGTGATTCGCAAATCAATGTGCCCAGCTGGGTACCCCGAAACACACGCCCCGCTTGTACCCTAGGCACAAGCAGGACCAGCCCATCACTCTCCTGTCACGGTGTCTAGGTCCCCGTTCAAACTTGGACTCTAAGCCACTGCTCCTAAGTCTTAGACTCAGTGCGGTGCTTAGACCTTCACCATCCCCGCCTCCAATCAGTCGGTCCAAAAAGAGCCGGAACCCATGACAAGAGAGCAACAAGCCTTCCCTGCGCCCATACCCAAGTATATGCTCGAGATAATAAGTCTGTGACTTGCCTAGAACCCAATGCAACGGCTGGTCCTTAACCAACATAGACAGGGAAAAAGTGTAACCAAGCTATGCCCTGTTGGCCACAGGACACAACCTCTTACACCCACCAATATCCATACCATATCCCTGCCCGGTCACTAATTTCCTTTCCACCATTTTTATCATGAGTGATAGTAATAATCACCTATTGTGAGTAACGACAGGTTACTCACGCTACCAAAACCTGAGCATAGCAGCTACTCGACCTATACTAGTACGACTTATAGGTAAGTATATCTATGCATGTAGTTTCCATACAATGCCTGTAACATAAATGCATATCATATATATATTCAGTAATCATTCAAAAATAAGGGTTATGCATCGGGGCGTGCCTTGGGCAGGCGGGGTGTCAACAAAGTCAACCACTGATGCCTCCGGGGCTCCCTCCTGAATGAGAATCTCCTCCTCGTACTCTTCAATGATCTCCTCGTACTCTTGTTCACCCGCAGGCACGAACTCTACCAACTCGTTATCTACATGCATGAAATGATGATGCAACACTTAGTAATACCGCAACACCAACTCTTAAAATAAGAATACATCCATCAAGCTACTACGCTAGCTTTACCGACCAAGATTCTAAGTTACCTATTATTACCACTAAACAGGTATGATACATTGCATGTATTATCTTAGCAACTAAAGGCATTCCTATTCTTAATATCGATTTACTCCATCTATGATAAAACAAGGAGTACTAGCTACTCTATTTATCAACCTACTCTAGGGCTACAAAAATTACAGTGAGCACATAATAATTTAATGAACCTACTATAAAAATTTCATGGCTAAATCTATCACCAATTTACCACAAAAATTCCTACAAATATTAAGCTAAATAATACTAAGCGTTCCTAAACGAATTAATGATTCTATCATTATCACAGATAATTGTAAACTAACTATACCAACAGACATATAACATTTTTGTGAACCTAACAAATTTTGTTTCACTATTTTTGGACTTTTACAAGATTTTATATTAATTACCAAAGATCATCTTAGAAAATAAAATGACAAACATTTCTAATTTCCTGGAAAAAGAAAAAGGCCAACGGCCCCAAGCGGCCCAACCAGAGCGCGGCCCACACGCGCGGTGCGTGCACGCGGCCCATGCTACATTGCCCACGGCAGAGCCCGCACACAGTTGGCTCTTTAGATAAAGAGCCCCTGTTCTCTTTCCTATTTGTGAAACTAACTCAAACACTATTTAACTGAGTCATGAATTTGTATCTAGCACCCTTCTCTTAACCAAATTCCTGTTTTTCAAGGTCCCTGGCCAGAACTAATAGAGGTCACGGCATCTCCGGCCAAACACCGGTGAGTACGAACTTCCTCGGAATCAACCATCACCACCATAACACTCTACGTGCAAAGCGCAACTTATCGAGGTATCAAACACCAAAAATGGTGCAGCACATAGATGTGGCCATGCGTCGTGGCGGGGTCTGGCCGTGGCAACACCGGCGCTGGCAAAAGCACCTAGCCCAACGCCTCTACAGATACCCTTTATCCATCCATAGGCTATGGGAAACAATACAGGAACCCTATTTGAATCTCTACTACACCCAAACACGCTGGCCACGGGAACGACATCTAAACCCAGTTCGCCGGCGGTGGTGAACGCGTCCCGGTGAACCTAGACCTTAACACCGTCTACCCTAGGAGCAGTGGTGCCTCACCAGAGACATGTAGGACGGTCTAGACGAGATCGTGAGGCTCGGCAAGGTGGTTGACCACGTGCGTGGGAATGTTCCGGTTCACGACGACCGCGGCGAGGGTGTTCCTAGTGACATGCTGCTCCATTGGCGAAACTACTACATGGGTGAGTGTCGATAAAAGATGCTCGGCAGTCCACCGAGGGGTATCCCACGATGGTAGATTTGTCATAGAGGTGAGCGAGATCAGGAGTGTCGATGTTTTGGACCGGCGGATCCTCAACCAACTAGTGAAAGTGTACTGCGTGCCCCT